TCCATATAAGATTTATCTATTTAATTCTTAAGTGTAGACTTACCTGTGATGCTGTATAAAGATATATAATCTAAGGTGCTGTTGTTTACTTAGTGTAGATGTATTTGTTTTCCTACACTAAGGTTGATAAATTTCTGATATTAAGTTTATAAAAAGTCTGTATTTATTTGTTTCCGCAAATCATATAATCAAAATCTTGGATGTTACCATTTGAATAACAGTTCTGAAAAGATGTCTTTTAAATTCAAAGTGAATGACATTACCGACTTCACATTACCTACAAGCTCCAGTACTGTTGATAACCTAGGAATTTATAACATCGTTTGACGAAAGCCTACCTTCTTTTGTAGAGCAATTTTCACAAATTTTATCTAACAATTAACATCTTTGTTATTCATTTCCTGTTTTTCCTTTTGATGAATTGAACATTAATGTCTACATCACCAATATCATTCAATCAATAAATCTTCAAATGTCCTATATCTATGTGAAAATGCCCCCAACCCCCACCCCTCCCCTTCAATTAAAATTGAGTGTGATAGTTTGTATTAAGTGACTGCTACCACTGACAAATGTAAGACAGTGCTTCTGCTAGGAATCAAACCAAGGACCTCTGGCTTATAGTTAGTCTTATGCTCAATCAATCGAGCTAATGTCATGAGAAGATCTCTCTAGCTGAACAGTATATTGTGCCTCGTATCAACTAGGGTTACATACTCCCCCTCCCCCCACCCACCCCCCACTACAAGAAAGAACTTGTCCTCCAGTTTACAGGGGTTAAAGTCACAGAACTGAGTGTTACTGCCTAGATTCCTATGCCAATGTTATATTAGACATTATTTATTGCAACCGCCAGTGGGATTTGAACCTGGTTCCTCTGGCTTTCTAATGTTATAATTGACCTGTTGAGACAAAAAGAACATCTCTCTTGCCGAGCATTATATCGTAACTAGTATATTGTGTATTCATTAATGTTACAGACATAACAATGTCCCTGTCCAAGACATGGATCTTTGCATACAAATCAAGCATGGACATTTTTTCCCAAGTAAGACAATAATGAATATTTAGTCAAATAAGTTTTTGGTGTATAACACTACACTTCCTTAAATAAATTCAGATCTCTGAATCTATTTACAAATCAGATTAGTTAAACAATGTTTTCCAAATTTCTGTTAAATCTAGGAGCTGAATTAGCTCTACCATAAAAACAATTTTAGAGTCATATTCAACATACCGTGATCAGTCTATTTTTAGGTATCACAGAATCAGAATTTATCCCTACTGAATGATAAGTGTAGATAAACAACAACTTGATATTGTATGTGTCCCTTCTTTAACAAATGAAGCAATATTTTCAATCCAAACCCCTCAGAAATACCAAATAGACAGTATTTCCAAGTATACATATATGTTGATAACTTATAAGCTGAAATGAAAATAGATCTAATAAATTGTACAATATTTTGACCAAACAATTACAAACAACTCATTGTGTACCTTAACACAGTAATATCATGACAATACAATATCTTCTATAATCTGGGGACAAAATGATGTCATTTGATGAGTAATAAATATGATGATAAAATGTTGACATACAAACACTTGTTGCAACTAGCTTGTCTACATGTTAAGATAATAATTTTTGAAATAAGTACAAAGTTATTTAGATATTATCTTTGATAATGAATTTCATATCTTTATTATAAGAAATAATTATGTCAACATTTTACAATCTTGTTAACAGAAGACTGATGTTGGCTTTTAATTCTTCACTCAAATTCAGTAAAAAGCAATGACGAAATTCTCATTTTCAAATATTGCTTCAAAATATGAAGACATTTCAATCAAAGTTAATCTAGAAATAAAGATCAGTTTGAGTTGGTGTAAAATGCAAAATGTTCTTCTAAAATCACAATGAAAAATAATCGCAAAAGGGGGTCAACTACAACAATGTCAACAAAACACTGGCTTTGATAAAATGTTGACATTGATAAAGACACTGAATAACTTCATGCAACAATCGATATAGCAATACAAATTGTCAACATTAAGTGGACAGACCGACACACTGACTGAATGTCTATATTGTTTGTCAACAAAACTGATTAAATGTTAACAGAATTATTCACTTGACGTTGACATGATATTAAATGATAAATGTTGACATAGTGAAACGCTTACAAATAATTTTACAAAGGAAATTTCTGGAAAATAGACACCATTTGGTGAAAGTTTTACGCAACAATGTTGACACTAGCTAGCACAATGATGTCATCACAATGTTTTGACATGTTGAAGAAAAGCTGAAAAATTTCCTCCTGTGCCTTCACTGCAACATCACACATAATGGGACTGACATCTCCTCGAGACAATTTCCACTTTTTCTGCACTGCATGAATCTCTCTGTATTTCATGTCACGTTTATTTACTCTGAAAAGACATTAAATTTGAAACTTAAACTTTTGTCAGTAGTAAATCAAAACAACCGTACAGAACAGAAGTTATTACATTACAACCAGTTAGATAATGACACTTCAGTATTTCCCATCTTTGTGTACATACTATGTAAGATTTATACATATTGATTAACATCTCATACACTGCATACTTATGTGACATACATTTTACACAGATCATTTGTCTGATGAAGGTGACAGCTGTAATCATCGAAACATCCCACATAACTTATAATTAGTTGTTATAATTACACCCAGTGAGAACGTCTTTTCAATATCTGTTACCAACCTAGGAAGTGTTCTGAGAAATCAAATAATTCAGATATCAACAAACTAGATTTTTGTAAAAAAAATAAACTTTTAACCTGAAAAGGAATTGTATAATGAAACTATAAAGCCAACAATGATGTAAACTACAGGAGTGAAAAAATGGCATAATTTACTGTTCGAATTAGTCAAATAATAGGAAAACAGGGAAACAAGAATCAGATTTTCAAATTCCAAAGAATATCTACCAAACCTGTGAATGTAAATTTTGGTGCAAGACTGAACACTTAGGATTGGTAATAAAACACATAATGGAGAACACAGTTCATAGCAATAACCTGAAAAACTGAAATGTTCACCTTTTATCAGTGAAGCGGTCGAAATGATCGGCATAATGGACAATCTGTCCTCATTTAAATGTCAAGAACAACCTTGCTCAGTCACTAACTTGTTACATTTTTATTTGAATTCAGTGCAATTAGAAATATGCTGTATGCATTTCTAGCAGATACTAACAAGTTTTAACAATGTAAGTTAAAACTGGTTTCGGGTAGTGAATTTATGTCAAGATCTGAATCTTAAAAAAAATAATCACAGACATCACTGCATTTTTTGTTTTCTCTCCCAGATATAAGAAAACATCACACAGCTAGTAAACAAACCCGATATCTCCTACTACTTGTACCAGTGTACAAAGTATAAATCATTTATCCTCGGCAAAATATTCTTGATTATAGAAAGCAAGCAAGACACTTTTCTGAAGCCCTTCTCTGTTACGTTTGTTAAATGTTGCAGTGATCTTAAGCCTGGACAACAATAAAAAAAATCATTAAAATTTGATAACGAATCAAAAAAAGGGGGCCAACAAAAACAAGCAGTCACTTTCTGTAATATTTTTAGAAACAGTGACCTTGACCTTAACCCATAGTTTGTAAACCCTATGTTTAAGTGTTGCATGAAATCAAAATTAATTTTCAACCAAATTCCATAAAAAAAATGTGCAGTAATTATTAAAAAACTTGGCAGGAAACAAACATTTTACTAATTTCTAACAAAATAACAACATAAATTTCCTCATAGCTGGTAGTTTTTGAGGAGACAACATTTTTGCTACATTTTTTTTTTTTATTTCGTTGTACATTTACGAACCAATTTATTGTGAAAGAAAAAATCCATCCTTAAAATAATGAGTCAAGTACAAACGAGATGTCCTTTTGCATTCGGATCTCAAAATGTTGATTTTTTGGAAGAAAATATGAGTTTATTTCATTAAAAATATATTGCAAAAATATTTTGACCCTTGAAAATTACCAGCTATACTGTACTTTTTACAATTATTGGTTACATCTTTTAAATGGTGATTATAGCTAAAAATGATTTTTGTTAAGAAGCATAAACACCAAGGAAAAACAAACCAGCCCCCCCCCCCCCCCCCGAAAAACAAAATACACAATACTGAAAAAAATCTTGCAAACACCATTCTACAAACAACCATTCATTCAGACCCACAAATTCAACTCTTAGAATCTATAGTAACACTCTATAATGTTTTCTTTCTATTCTCAGCTGAATTTAAACCCAGAATTTCCATGCATGTTCATTAAAGAAAGCAACCAAATATCACAATCATACTGTCTGTAAACTGATACACTACAGTCTACTTCAACTTCCGAAAATTAATAAAACTGGTCGTGTGCTTTAGCTGTGCTGTTGTAAATATACATAAGTATTTTCATTGATAAAATACACACAAAATTTTACTCTTTTAAATCAAATTAATGTTTACACGACTATCATTTAATCTCCATTTATTTTCCATTATCATCATAAATCAAATTCATTTTACTTCTTAACAGGAAAAAAAATCAAAGAAAGTTTCATTCATTAAAAAAAAAAAAAAGAAAAAAAAATCTTTCAATGAAACCCTGAACAATACCTTTTTATGGAATATTTCATCAATTGCTAGTTCTTTTTTCCAAAACAAATTTTTAAGTGTATCAAATGGTTTTCATCCCAGCAGTATTAAGATTTAACAAAATATTACAAAAGTTGTTTTCCATGAAACTTATAAATATGTGAGCAAGTTTGGTTTTTGCAGATCAATACTGAACATTAAAAACTATTATGACGAAGACACACCCCTGGATATGCTCTTGTCAATGCACTAGATTTTTGCATTTGAAGATCGTAACAATTTTAACACAATGTTTATTGCACACCATGCCATGCCAACCTGATGGACATGACCTTACCAATGACCTCAAAAAGAGATCACAAAAACGACCCTTGATCCCAAGGAATATATAAGTATCCATCCTGCATTGAAAACAAAAGAGTCTTAAAAAAAACTTACAGTATAAAATCTTTCAAAAAAATCATTACAAGGCTAAATTTCTAAATATCAAATTCTGAAAGAAAATTCAAAGTCAACAAAAACCAAATTTTGGTATGAAATTCAAAGTCAACAATAAACAACAACAGCAAGTAATCATCCTGTAAACATCAAACAAATTACAATAGAAAACAAGAGGCCCATGGGCCTTAACGGTCATCTGACAAAAAGCAAGCCAAACCTAGAAAGTGGGTTGAGGTCATTCATTTGAACAAACTTGGTAGCCTTTCCTCCCAGCATGCTACAGACCCAATATCGGCACTCATAGACTTTTGCTTATTGAGATGAAGTCCTTTGTATATTTTAACATATTTGACCCCTGTGACCTTGAAAGTGGGCCAAGGTCATTCATTTGAACAAACTTTGTAGGGCTCCATGCCAGCATGCTATGGGCCAAGTATTAGCCCCCTAGGCCTTCTAGTATTTGAGAAGAAGTTATTTAAAGATTTTGACATATTTGACCCCTGTGACCTTGAAAGTTGTTCAAGGTCATTCATTTAAACAAACTTGATAGCCCTTCATCCCAGCATGCCACAGGCACAATATCAGCAATCTGAGCCTTTTGGTTATTGAGAAGAAGTTGTTTAAAGATTTTAACATATTTGACCCCTGTGACCTTTAAAGTGGGTCAAGGTCATTCATTTGAACAAACTTGGTAGTCCTTCATCCCAGCATGCTACAGGCCTTATTTTAGTTGCCTGGGCCTTTTGATTACTGAGAAGAAGTCCTTTGAAGATTTAAAGACATTTGACCCCTGTGACCTTGAATGAAGGTCAAGGTCATTCATTTGAACAAACTTGGTAGGGTTTCATCAAAGCAAGCTACAGGCCAAATATTAGTTGCCTGGGCCTTCCAATTATTGAGAAGAAGTCGTTTGAATGAAAAGTTTACGGACGGCGCACGGCGCACGGCGGACGACGACGGACGAAGCATGATGACTATAGGTCATCGGACCCTTCGGGTCAGATGACCTTATAAAATCTGGAAATAATAACATCCCAAAATAACTAGCAAGGAAAAGTAACTTCAACAAAAACCAGACATATATTAAAGCAATATAAATACAACAAGATGTCCAATGGGCCTGCAGCTCTCACCTGGTATATATGTACCAACCAAATATCATGCCTCTAGGCCTTATAGTTCATGAGAAGAAGACATTTTAATGTTTTAACAAATTTTTACCCACCCTTGTGACTGAAAATAGGTCAAGGTCATTATTTTCGCAAAGTTTGTCAGGCTTAATCCTGGGAACACACCAGCCAAATATAATATATATTGGGGCTATATATATATATATACAAAACCAAAAACCAGATGTACATGTATATTGGAGAAATTCGAATACTGCTATCAGTAACCAAGGAGAAGTTTTGATCTTCTTTTTTCAGCCTTGATGACTTTGTTAAGAAGTGTACTCATAATTCATGAAATACATTTAAAAGTCCTGCCTGCTGAAAGAGAAGTAAAGAATCTGAAATGAAATTGTATTGACTGTCACCTGTTTTTCTTTAAAATCCCCACTGGAGATGGGCAAAGCTCTCTAACATTAGTCCCACTGTTTTTGTGAAAAATGACGAAATGATAGCCAAGGATATCACTACATATATGTGTCCTCGACCACGAAATGGTAGGAACATAAAATCGTAATAACATACAAAAATCATAAACAGTGATGACTACTAAATTTTTTAAGATATGATCATAAAATTGAATTCTACATATCCGTATTCTGGATTAGTTGGTTGGGTAGGAGATCAAATGGATGGAAAACTGTTTTTATTTATCATCAATTCTATTAGAAGTAATCTTATACCTATATTTTTCTTCAGTCGAACTTATTTTCATTAAGCGGAAATGGAACTGCAAATCAAAATTTTGTCAATTTGAAGATGTTCTACTTTATGAGAGTTCAATTTTCTTTAGTTTTATTTAAAAAAGATATGCATATGTCATTACATTCATAATATTAGTCAAGAACTGTTTATGTGCATTTATTTATACGATAACTTCTTTCTTCAGTTATTGACCACAATGAGTACAGCAAATTTTGATGATTTTGACTCATAGAAATGATGTCAACAATATGTGATGAAAATGGATGCATGGAAACTAATTGGAAATATTTTACAATCCAAATACAAAATACTACCAGTACATGTAACAAACAAATATTTGTACACAAATGTATATAAAAAATCAAAATAAAGAAAAAAAACATACAAAAATAACAGCAAAATTCACCAACATCATGCTGTTGAAACATTTTCAAAAACTTAATATTCTTCATCTAAGTGCTAAAATAAAAATGCTATTAAGTGGAAGAAAATATATAGTTTACAATAGCAAGATCGAAGAACTTGGTTAAATACAAAACGATACACAGTTACTTCCCCTTTTGAAAAACAGAAGAGTTACTTCCCTTCCTAGAAGTGAGAAGAGTTATTTTCCCTTCTGCATGTAAAAAAGATTGAAAGGACAAGAAAATGTTCTTTTATAACCAAGTTGTTCCATTCAAATTTGTTAAAAGCTATTTTAACTACTAGATTTATTTCTGCCCTGATTTCTTGAAAAAAAATCAACAGAAGATTTTTAGTATTGTATTGTTTAAAAATATGGTCTTGTTCAGTATATTATTTTATTCCTGTACCAGATTGCTCATGAAATGAACTTTTTCACATATAATAGATAAATTTTGATGTAACACTTTTATCTAGCATATTTTAGATAGTTTTGATAATTTTGTTGGTAAGCTCATTTTAAAGTTATTAAATATTAAAATTTATAATATTTTATGTTTATTGTATATTTATACTAAATATTAAATACCATGTAGTTATACAGAGCAACTGAAGCACTACTGTACATGTAACAGAGGTCATTTTTTATCTCAATGCCTCCGCTAGGAATCAAACTCAGGACCCCTTGCTTACTAGTCTGACGCTCAACCAATCGAGCTAAAGAGAAGTTCTCTCTAGCCAAGTGGTATATTGCGGCTAGTATTTTACCAGGGTTACATACATATTCAATACAAGTTTGGGACCTGTCAGGTGCACATTCCTTTTAGGTTACTCACAGAACTATTTTTTTAAGAAAGAGAGCCCAAGGAAAACAGGATTAAGTCTCTTTCTTGCTACAGATTTTGGTTATAAACCTGAATTGCCAACAGATTTAAGACACTAGTGGAACAATGCACTATACAAAACATTTTCTGGAATACAGAGCACCAGCAAGACCTTCCTGTTTTCTTTGTTTGAGGACAATTCATAATGACAAAATATTTTTTCAAGAAATCAGTGCAATCTATTTTACTAAACTGTTTAGCAGAGTGTAACCTGTCAGTATGAATACATATACTCAATTTACAAAAATTCTAGAAATACTTTTCAATTTCTTACAATTTACAGTTTAAATGGACAATTTTGAAAACTCAAAGGAAACCAATTTTTTCCATTTTAGATCCAACACAATATTAATGTGGTTAATAAGCTGTTGTGGCAAAACAAAGGGAAGCTCAGGGTGAAATATTGTTAAAATTCAAAGTACAAAATATCACTTAAGTATGTTACTAGTGCTATCTAACAGGGAACAACAGAGATAAGATATGTGCATGTAAATGCTTCATCTCATTGCCCATCCTGCAATATGTAAGAGGTGCTTTAAAACAGAAGCAAGCTCATGAGTACAAAAGCCAGAAAGTATTTTCTACATTGACAACATATCAAAATCATTTTTAAGAAGATAACTATGGTAACAGACTTGATTACATACCAATATTTTATTACAGCTATTGAAAACGAGTTTAAAATAAATAATTTCTTTTATTTGAAAAATATACCAAGAAACTCTAATTTTAAGTAGGAGGAGGGAGTTGGGGGGGGGGGGCTTATTAAAGAACAATGATACATGATACAGCACTTATTGAAGGGTGTCTACTGAAATTTGATTACAAACAGGAGGACATATCGACATGGTATACCCTGTAAGAAATTCCCTTCATTTTGTAAACAGACAGAGCTCTAAATGGAAAGAAGGCTTGTTTCATGGGAGTTTTCAAAATTGTTCAATGAGCAGAGGCACAGTGTGACGGTTAATATGCAGAAGTTGTGATGATAAATGGTTTACAAAAGTTAGGCAGATGGTTTACAACAGTTAGGCAAAACACATAATACGGTACGGAGATTAAAACACAATTACAGTGACTCACAGCATCATTTGGGGCGTCGCCCGATCCTTCCTCCGAGTCCTGTGTGGCGGAGTGAAATGTTACAGTCAATCAAATCACAGCAAATGATTAATTATACAGTAAAAAGGAATAAATTTCAGTGAATGAAACTGCAGCTGGTGATATTTAATTTACAACAATCATTAATTGATCACATCAGAAGAAAATCTTTTCATCCAACCAAACCGTCGTTTATGAAATCAACAACCAATCAAATCATATTACAGAATGATGACAGCAACAAAAGATTATGGCAGCCGTGATGAAATTCAAAGATTTTGTTTTGTGAAAACAGCTCACCTGGTCAGTCTTTATTACATAATATGTAAAGATTAATTAAAAAACAAGTAAACATACAGAATCAATATGTTCCAGAATTATATACCGGTAAGTTGAACACAGGTCCCTGAGAATTAGAAGTGTTATTTAATATCAGCTAAATGATATGATTTTTCATAATTTTAGAATTTTGACATGTTATGGATTATATTTGGAAAGACGTTTTGCTACCAAGCATCAACTAAGGACTACCACACTTAAAAATATATATTTGAGTACATGTATATTGTGTGTTTAACGAAACAGAGAACTGAAAATTACTGTTATCTCATGGACAACTGAGGGCTATAACTCTGAATATGGAGGGACCCTAGACTCGAATTTGAGCATACACACATGCAGAAGTTTCGTTTTTTTCTTCCGTTACTGACAGACAAAGGGAGATAACTATATGATGATTCCGATTAAATTATACATCATATATGTTGATGCATAGACAGTGAAATATTAAAATCACTTTGTCTAGGATCTCATTACTTGATTCATATTTATAGTGAATTAAAACTGATAAAACTGACAGATATGAACATAATAACGTTTTTGTTTGTTTGAACACATAATTTCATGCATTCATCACAAACTTACCATCGTAGTGAGAAATGGTCCCTGTAAAACACAATGTTGTCGATCAGGTGATCAACACTAGACCTACATCTACATCCGTAACTTGGGACATTAAGACATCACTGGAAATTTTCCATTTGACAAAATTTAAAAAGAGCCAATATTTTAGGTAGCATCAATAAGAAAATGAATGAATGAATGACAGAATGTTCTTTGGATCTCTACCCAATATTAATGTAAGATAACACAAGTCACATCACTTCATTCCACATCTAGACAAACTGTTGGAATAAGGAAGAAACAATGACTATTTTCTTGTCAAAGTATGACTGTATATTACAACCTTAACAGTGATAGATTTGTTTCCTAATTAACATAATTAGCCACACCCAAAACACTGTTAGCCACACCCATATTTCTATATAGCCACGCCTCTTACCTGTCCCACTTCCCAGCCTTCACTCTCTCCTGCCAGCTGGTAATGTTGTTTCCTCAGCTCTCCAAGCTTCAATCTCTCCAACTCTAATTCTTTCTCAAGCTCCAGCAACCGTACCTATAAAACAAAAGAACTTTTACACACCAAAATATTGATACATAAATGAGTACTGAACACAGGTGACAGACATACAGGTCAAGACTTTTCCTCACCTCCTAAGGCAATTTTAAACACAATAAATATGTTTGATGGAAGAGTACAGGTCTTTTTATTTCCAAATGCATCTCATCAATTACAACAAACAGACTCAGCAATAGGAAAATTGATCTCAAATTGACTGAAGCTGTTTTTAAATCTGATCAAGATAGCACCAGTAGTACCTGGTACTTTCACCAGAATGAAGACTACTAAAGTACTGTCACTTTCGTCATGCCAAGGTCACCTTGACATCTTATTTTTGTTTTAAGGTAAAATCAATTTATTCTCATTACATCCTTTCATGATGCAGAGTTATCTGCTCTTACAAAAGAGTATTTGATTATTTGTATAACTTGTTTGTGAGAGTTACATCCTAAAAAATTGTATAAGACAACAACATGATTTTCTCATGCAAACTAATGATGTAATTAGAAATACCTGCTCATACGAGCAGATAACTCAACATCAGGAAAAGACAGAATATTTTGCTTTGAGGAAGAAAATAAATTACGATCCTTCAGACAAGGGTGACTACAATTAAATTCCTTACACTTACTGCAACAAATATTTTGTTCCAGCTTTCTAGGGAATGAATATTGCCCCTTGTCCATTTCATGTGCCACTATAATCTCTTTTTCATATATTTGAACATCATCTGTGATTTTCCAGGATCAGTTCACAGTGTTTTCTCTATGTAAATATCTTTAACTCAATGAAATCAGTTGTGAAAATAAGTTATCATATTTATCAACCCTGAATGGAAGGTGACCCCAAACCTTTTCACATTCATTACCAGCCACCTGAAGTTCCCTTTGTCTATATAATTCAAACAATTTCTTCAAAACTGAGAAGATATTTCTAATTTTTCCTTAGTTCAAAGCAAGTAAGACACTGTTTTGGCTACAGAACAGCCAGCTGTAAAAATCAGGACAAAAAACACTGCTTACCTGGGACTGCATCTCATTTTTCTTCGTCTGGTGCAATGTCAGTTTGGTAAAATCCATCAGACCTATAGGAAAAACACAAAAGAAATTCAAAACTCATAAGATTTGAAATGGGAAATTTTCCACATGTAGTGTGTTGAAACATGAAACTTGGTAGCAATCTGCCTGAATGTTTGAACTCTCATCTGTTTTGCCCTTTTGTCAATATGAGGTGAAAATTAAAAGATGGGCTAAAGTAAGATGTTGAAATTGAGACATATTTTCCATGTATTTCATGCCTAATTCATCGAAAGGCAAAAAGAATTTTAAATGTGAAAAAAAAACAAAAATTTCCCTGTACACACTTTTATAAAGACTTAATGGGAGTCCTACTCACTCTGTTCCTCGATCCTCTGAGATCCTTCCCGAGCTGATCCCACTACTTTGCCTGTTGATGTAGAAACCCCTTTAGAGGCATCGGACAAGGCCTTGAGTTTCTCACTACGACGGTCAGCCTTGACCTTTGAGGCTACAACAAGCTGTGCCGTACTTGCAGCAATCTCATTTGAGCAAACAATAAGTTCTTCAAACTTCCCCTCTCCTTTCACAACCTTGTCTGCTGCCTCCCTGAAAATTCAGTGAAAATGTCTTACATTATTCAAAATACAAGACCTATATATGAAGTATCTGTTTTGAACGAACAGATTTAATACTCATTTTCTAAAAATGTTTAAAGCTAATCAAAATGGAAATTTAATAATTTTTCATGAGGTCCTAAAACAAATGAATATTTTCAGCAATTAAGTGATTCATTAGAATCTTTCATGATCAAAACAAATTTAATATTTATGAAGACTTCTTAAACAAAATAATAGGAATATTTATCTGATTTGCAGATCACAATCCCCAATAATATGACTATTCATCAATCTAAATAATAACCAAACAGTCTTATGACTATTCAATACATCTATGAATATTCATTAATCTCAGTAATAACCAAAAAAACTTATGATTATTAAACAAAATTATGAATATTCATTGATCTAAATGATAACCAAACAGTCTTATGAATACTAAAAAGACTTATGAATATTCATCGATCTCAATAATAACCAAAGAGACTTAAGAATACTAAATAGACTATGAATATTCATCAGATCTTACATTAGAGTTGTAGCACCAAATCCTACAGCTTTAGCAGCTGACAGTAAACCTTCTGTCCATCTATGATTCTTCTTGTAAAATTCCTTACTGGACGATGTTCCCTGTATATCAACACATAATGTTTATTAATGATCTTTAAATTTTACAAAGTTACTGAGAGAAATAGGCCCCAATCTGCCAATGCAAACACTTACATATTCATGAAGTATTCTGACATGTACAAGAAATGAAAAATTAATTACCTTTCATAATACACTGTATTACTGTTCTTTTATGTATCGTTCTTCTATGTAAATTCTAAATCCTGGTATAGAATTTATATCTGACCTTCCATAATTTACATTATATGTTAATGGAATTTCTCCTTCATTTTGATATTATTATGCAACAAAAATGAGACATCATTTGATGCAGAAACATTCAGTCTGAATCTAATATATACATAAGTACAATTCAGAATCAATTCTTTTCTACTCATTGAAACTTACTCGTCCTTGAGACACTATTTCTTTCTGCAGATCACGGGACTTTGATAACAAAATCTTAATGGCCTGTGTGAATAAAAAGAAAAGATAGATCATGTTTGCTACTATACAACTTCAACGTTAACAACAATCTATCAGAATATCTTGTTCTAAACAGTATGTTGTACCTTTGTTGCAAAAGCACATCGGACATGACTTTAATGACTTAAAGATTATTCCTATCAGCCATTAGCATAATCTCTTAATCAAGTACCCGGGTAAACACGAAAAAAAAAAAAAATGTGCTCAAGAATTTCAGCACAATATCAGTTTTGAGCAATCTATCATACTCATTAATTTGCTCATTCACAACTATACTATAATGACAACAAACTGCAGTATTTCAGTGTAAAAAGCAATAAAACAGGAAGTCCACTGAAATCAGTCCCATTTCAGTAATCATTAAATCTGAATTAATTAAATTACAGTTTATTGTAAAACTTCTGATCAATAAAGCTGCTTGTCAGTCATGTGTATGACAAAAAACAAGCTGCTGATTGTTTCACGTAAAACAAACCTCCATTAGTCCCGTACAGGAGTCCAATATTCCTTCATTGACCTGAAGCTCGACACCAGAATTACTAGACCTGTTCTTATGAAGCATTTCCTGTAAGGATCAAAACAGAACACCATATGTAAACGATTCTATAATTTTGTAATGAGGATTCATTCCTTTTAAGAAGAAGAATTTACAAATACATTGATAATCATAAAGAACTTAATTAAAAAAATATTATTTGCCTTAATCATTGGAAATCAAATAATATTTTCTTTCCAAACTGAAAAAAAATTAAATTAAAAAATATTTAAACAAAATCTTTGAAACATTTGTCATTATTCAAAATTTCATATTGTTTTCCAAATGCTGACAAGTTACAAACCCAATTCATTTTCATGCCTTTGAGGTTACTGTTGAGAATATTGACAAACCTCGATTCTCTGAGCGGCTTGTTCAATGGCGGAGTTAGTAGCACTCATTTCATTCTCCACCAGATCACCTATCTCTCCCTCCTTAATGTCCACCATCTTGGGGACAAGGGCCTCAGCAAGGTTCATCAGTCTCTTCACACTCTGGACAGTCTGGTCAACCTCAGTGTTTACAAATCCTCCTGTCAACAAAGAATTGTAACACAAAAATTTTACAATATTTTTTGAGATATTTTGTTACTTCTGTTTTTAAAGATCAAAATATAAATCATTAAAAAAATTCCAAAGAATAACCTTTTGGAACTTCACATTTCTGTTCAATTAATATTCTGTCATTTATAGGATTTATCAACTAGGTTATACAGCCATGGTAATTACATGGCGAGACCTCCAGCTAGAACTGGTGGCTACTTTCCTCAACAACACATGGGAGACAAATAATATACCATTTAATGCAACTGTGGTAAATTCTCTTGTCCAAGGCTTCAACTACATCCAGCACTGGCCAGTCTGTTGCTCAGCTTCCTGAGAATCACAAACTGCCACCTTGACGAAACCTCTAACAACAAACCCTCCATCTCCATCTGAGGAGAAGTTTGTCAATGCTCTAACTGTCTGAACAGTCCTGACTACTTTAGAAGAAAAAATCCACTACACAGAACACAGTAGGAGTATCTTGAAACCAGCTTATAAACTTCAACTTCTTCCTCCTTACTAGGAAAAAAACCAATACAATGAAAAAGAATATACAGTTTCCAAACACATTTCTCACACAGATAAACTTTGTAAAATATCAAAGTCCATTTAAGATACAAATCAAGAACAATGAATAGTTTTTATAAGTAATTCTCGTTGATCTGGTAAATCTAGTGTACAATTATTCTAGTTTTAATAAAATCTGGCAAAAATGAAGTTAACTTGAGCGCCATTTTTAGAATTTTTGAATCTAAATTTCATTTAAAATCCTATTGCAGAGATAAAGTCTTCTGAATTTTTGTGTGAGAATATTTTGTGTGGGAAAGGCTGAAACTATGAAAACATTGTTAAATTTCACTTCGTTCCCTTATTTTTCGATCTTGGAAGTTGCAACAAAAGTCTTACCTGCTTCAATGGCATCCAACAACTTAAGGCCCATATCACCAGCTTCTCTACAGGCATTTCCAAGCTCTGGAAAATTATATCTTCAGAAATATTACCAAGGAATGTTAGCAGTACAGTATGATAATATAATAATGTGTATTTTTTCCTTACGGCAATAAATTTACAACATATAGGTGTTTTGGGTTGTTAGGGGAAAATAGATTTTATATTTTGTATCATTTTCCATCCTACAGCTGGCCATGGTCAGAATTGGAAGTTATGGGAAACATAAACATTATGTCAGACATACCTTCCCCTGCCTCCAGCTGGGCAGAGTGGGAAGTGGCAATACCATGCATCACACAATCCCCCATGTGATGAGAATAAGATGTTATGGATTTCACAAGTGTCTCCAAATCTGAAACAGCAGAGAATTGTAATGATAAATACAACCTTTGTTTTCAAGCTGATAATTATGTTGTGCTTGTATTAATATACCAATCATAGTAAAAAAAGTTGCCCTAGGTTAACCTTTTACCTTAAGGTCAAGGTCAAGGTGAACGACTATCGTGATGAACTGTTCATCTTCATTGTGATAATATTATATCTAAAGATTTTGTTGAAGACAAAAGTCAAAAGTATGATTCAGAAGAAGCAACAACAAAAAATTCCAGTGATAATGGCTGACTGACGTCTTTGTTTACCTTTTTTGTCAATACTGTAGATACTGTGGGCATTCTTCAGGCTATCTAGACAGGTCAGTACTGGCTCTGTCCTCATGAGGAGGAACTCTGACACAGAGAAAAATCAACAAGTTTTAATATTTTAGCCTGTATAAACAACTCATTAAAACATTATATAAGATCAGAAACATTCCAAAGAAAACCAAGTCCATGATGTATTAGTCAATAATGACAGAATTCAAGTAAATAAAATACAGAAATAAACAAAGGGTGGATAACTCTAGCTGATACATACCTGCAGTACACTTAACAGCGATATGTGTTGGATTTTCAAATTGATCTAGAGCATCTTGTATGAACCCTCTGCCTTCCTCAACAGCTTTGGCTGAGAAATACAACACATAATCCATTACACCACAATGAATTGAATACAACACGACTGTTTTTACAATACATACAAATACAGTTTATCGTGTTGTTGATATGTTTCTCTATTTGACAGATTCAAGATATCTATCTGATTTAAGTTTCGCATTGTCCAAAATCCAGGACTTTTTTTAGTCTTAAATTTTGTAGTATTAAGTTTTTACTTTTTTCTTAATTTGATCTACTTAAAAATTGTGATAACTCTCAGAAATGAAAAATATTTCAATGAAATTCATTTTTTACATAAAGAATATATTGACTGAAAACTTTCCAAAAGTTCCAAAACGATACATAGATGCTGGAAAATTCCATAATGAAATGTTCTTTTTTTTGTGTGAAAAAAATGCATATTACTTAAAAGCAAGTTAAGATTGGCAAATACACATTGAATTAATTGAAATTCAGTTCAAAATGTGCTAAATAGTACCAGATCACAATGTCAATTTTCAAACATCATAAGCATTACCTAACATTGTGGAGTGTATGGAATTAATGTCGCCAGTCAACCTCTCCTCCATGTTGTCCTTGTCAGTCACTGTCTGGGTCAGTTTAGCTCTTAAATCTTCTAATTGTTGGTTTAGGTCTTGTTCCATTGTCTGCTTCTCTGAAACAGTCTCCTCTAACTTTCCCTGTAAACAGAATGTTATCCCACTGACCTCTAACCTCATTAGGGTACTTGACAAAAACACTCCTTCTTAACATCTCTCTTCATTTACATGAAGGTTTAAACAACCTCGGAAATATTTCCTTTCTTTGCTATCAAATCACACTACTTACCCTATTAAAACTATTAAATATATATTGTGATAATCTTGTTGGGATACGCTACAGTCACATATCAGTGTTACCTAAGACACTTTAGTTTCAGACAAACAAATGTAGGTTAATTTTTTATTCTTAAGTATTGATAAATAAACAGATAAATAGATGTTGGTAGTTCCTATATATCGCTAAATATAGATGGTTATTGACTTGAACTGTCTATAAGTTGACTTCATAAGGATATAAACAATTATTATATTGCTAATGCATAATCTGACGTCACCTAAACTGTCTTTTACATTATTACCCCACCAAAAAGAAGTTTTAGTAAGTACAATACAAAATCATTAAATGATGAATATATATCAACTACATTCCTAAACTCATTTTGTTGCAGGAGTTCAACTCTAAACAGATATATTGCTAAGCTTAGCCTTCTTCAGACATTTACCTTCAGATCTGCAATTTCCTGTGAAAGTTGTGTCTCTTGCACATCTTTCTCTTCACGTGTCTGTCGGAGCTGTGCCTGCAGGGCAGTTATCTCCCCTGTTAGTTCGGTCTCTGTTTGTTGGCGGGCATGGTTGGCCTCGTCAAGTTTCGTCTGTAGTGCTGAGCTCTCTTCCTCCACAGTCTGTAGCTGTGACATCAGACTAGACTTGGTCTCTTCCAAAGTTTTTACCTTGTGTTCTAGTTGCTGTTTGAATGAAATTATTGTATGGTAAATAAAAGTTAAACAGGTAACACGTGAAAGCAGGTTATGAACAGATATTTAGAATTTGATACAAGGGTACCCCAGGTAATTTTAGAATTGGGATTAACATATTTAAGAAAATTTATACCTTTTATTTTTTTTAAATTGCTGATCAGGATATATGTACACTGTATTATTTTAGAACTTCTGAAAACTGATTTTTTTTCCTTTAAATGTATCAGTATTATCCGATATTGTTTAACATATGTAAGTTTTGGCCGTCATCAAAATGAACATTGAAAATATAAAATTTTCTATGTGAAATAACTGTCATTTAGGACTTTTCAATAAGACAACTAAAAAAGTCTTAAGCATCTTGAAATACATCCAGTTGTAAAATATGACATCTGCACATCAAAATAACAAAATTTCTTTCTGGTTGGATAAGCTTACTGTATATTTCACCAAGAGCGTGACTTTAAACAAGAGCTCCATTGGCCTTAACAGTCATCTGACTATAAAGATTTATAACAAGGTCAAATAGACCTAAATTGCTCAATGACTCTACAGCTTACAAAGAAAGATGTAGTGGATTTATAAAAAAAATTTCTGCAAACTTGCAATTCTGTTTCTCATAAATACTACTACACAAATACCATGACTGTGAATCTACTTCTTGTTGAAAGAAGATATCTTAAGATTTCAAAGTATTTGACCCTAAATACCATGAAAGCTGGTCAAAGTAAATCCTTTGAATCAAACTTTGAAGTGCTTCATCCAATTATGTAAAAGAACCAATATCAACAGCCAGGAAGAAAAAGTCCTTTTAAGATTTTAACATGTGACCCCTGTGATCATGAAAATAAGTCAAGATCAATCATATGAACAAACTTGGTAGCCCTTCATCCCAGTATGCTACAGGACCAATATCAGCACCTCGGGCCTTTTTGTTATTGAGGAGAAGTTGTTAAAAGATTTCAGTACATTTTACTCCTGTGACCTTGAAAGCAGGTCAAACTCATTTATATTATCAAACTTGGCAGCCCTTCATCCCAGCAACCTCCAGGCCCAATATCAGCACCTTGGGCCTTTTGGTTATCCAGAAGAAGTTGTTTCAAGAATTCAACACATTTGACCTTGTGACTTTGAAAGCAGGTCAATCTCATTGTTATTTACTAATTAACTCAGTAGCTCTTCATCCTAGCATACTACAGGCCCAATATCAGCACCCTGGGCCTTTTGGTTATTGAGAAGAAGTTATTGGAATGGAAAGTTTACAAACAGCTGATGGCTGAGGCGCACGATGACGGAGGAAACGCGATGGCTATAGGTCATCCTTACCCTTTGGATCAGATGACCTAATAATCAATTATTATGCAGTTCACAAAATTTGAATTTCTTTTACCTGATTTGCACCAAATCCTTGCCCTTGGGCTTCAAACATCTGGTTCGGGAATAAATCAAAATCATTTTCATTGCATTTGTTTTTATTTTTTGTTTTGTTTTCATCATGCTAGATTAAAATTTTCAACATGATCCATGCTTTGATGCAAGATGCTGTGTTTGTCGGTACACAATCGAAGGATGGGCCACCATTTAATACACTAACTAACAAAATGATATACAGTCAAATCTCGTTATCCCAAGTTGGGATTATGGGGAAACATCTGAGTATTTGAGTTAACAGATTTTAAAATTTTAGATATGAAGTTTGGCTTGGACAGACGATTACTTCGAATTAAATGAGTTCCTTGAGTGACACAACTTTGAGATAATGAGGTTGGACTGTATAAACAAGATGCTATTTAGGCCGTTTTTATGAGGTATGGGACGGGACAACAATAACATGCAATGTTTGTTGCTTTCCTTTCAGTTTGAAGTAATCTTTGTCCAGACCTTAACTGGAAAGCAACAGGACAGTGTTTCATTGAGAATTTTAGGAAAAAATGGAAACATTGTTCAAGTCAAAATCTTGTATATCTCAGAATATTGAATAATGATTTATTTTTTGATGTAATAGAACATGTGTTTATAATCCCTTGAATCTCACTTTCTTATAACTTAATGCCAATATATCTCCTACACCTTTTTTATTTATTTTTCTTCTCGATCACCAAATCTGAATCCTTTTCTCCTTTCGTAATATTATCATTAAATATCTTTTTATTGTCACAGGAACAATAGTGGTAGCACAATTTATCATTAGATTCAACTGCATTCGTTTTAGTCACGCAATCCCGATGCAAATTCTATCCAAGTAAGAAAATGCTTCATAAAACACAAATATTAATAGATACTATTCTGAGATGAAAGAATGTCTTCAACAAATGTTTCCCATTCTAAAATATCTCAAAGTATCTTCCTGTGCTGTTTTATCAGACGTCGTCTTTATACCTCAGCTGATTTTTCAAGCTCCGTATTTTTAGCCGTGGCTATTGCAAGTTGTGATGTGACTTCATCAGCACTCTGCTGTAGACTTTCCTGTAGAACTTTACGCTCATTTTCCATCCTCTGTATATCACCATGGGACTCCTGCAGATATTAGGTAACACACACACAACATGTTAACATGCCTTCTACATACAAATCCAGGTTAACTCCCAGGCAATTGGACCTTATATATACTATAAACAAAACCTTAAGCATTTTTTTTTATTTCTAATTTTTTTTTTTTTAGTTTTTATGTACAGCTTTTCATATTGATCTTTGTTGTTTTACATAAAAATTAAAAGTTTTTTTTTATCGAGTACACAGAGAATATTAAATAGTGTCTTCAGTAATACCAAATATATTTCACAAGTGTGAGAAAGAATAAAAAATTGTGGCCTTTATAATGATGCAAAACATTGACCTAAGTAACTATAGGTTACTGGAACAATAATATAATATAATTATTCTATCAAGGTAAGTTTCATACATAAATCGGGGAGGCTAGATTGCCTGATTCTAGGAGAGAGTGACCCTGTAGTTTTCAAGTAAACATTAAATCTATGACAGGAAATGTTTAGTTGAATAACTATTTGAAACTCTATAGATTAGCATGCTATTTTATTTCTGATATAACTATTTAAGACTCTTTAAATTAGCATGTTATCTTATTTCTGAAATAATCTCCTTCTTTTGACCTTCTACTTTTACAAGACAACTTCATCAAACAGCTGTTTGTCATTTCATGCAAAAGTAACTATGTTCTATCAACACATGCTTGATTCTACACAGTATTATGTCAAAGCTTTCGGGTCTGTATAGACCTTCATCAATGTTTCAAATTACGCAATACGCATGCTGTTTAATAAATTAACACTTTCATGCACAAATTCAATAATTTTGAATAATAATCTGTAAAAAAAATCCAGAAATAATCATTGCAACAAATTTCAAATAATTTGTGAGCCATGAATTAAGGATCTTGTATATTTGTGATTCTATCAAATGGAAGCTATAGAACAAGTTCAATCAATTTATAAGACAAAATCTTTGGGTAAGTAGCACATGAAATTATGGGATAAGTTAAATGAATTCAATATGACATGGACATAAGTATAAGATATTATTGATAATATAGCTGTTACCACAGAAATTAACACAAAATTCTTTTATTTTCTCGTTAGGTATTTCTTACTAGGACAACAGTGTGATATTATTAAGTTATGACATCATGAGAGTGCTAGCATACGTGCGTCTTAAAAAATGCCATTAATGTATAACATGGTAGAACAAGCCAGCTGTATAATATATCGCTATTCATACAAACATTCTTGAAATCAAAGTAATTCTTTTCACACAGAATCAATAAACTGACAAAACATTCCATCAAAAACATTTTTTAAGATTTGATATTCTTTATCTGTTATTGGATATGTAGTCTTATATTTTGCATTTTAACAAATTAAATTATCTGTAAGTATGAATTGTAATCTCTTAATAGATACACTATCTTGTTTTCTTTTCATTATGAAAGGTAATTTTATTCTCAGAAAGCATAATATTTTCAATGCCATATTATCATCTTTAAAAGACGAAGGCATTAATTGAAATAAATGAGACATAATGTGATTACAATCCCTACCTTCAGTAATTGTTCTTTTTCTTCGAGGGATCTACGCTCTCCTTCCAATTTTTTTGTTGTTTCGGCATTCTGAAGTGAAATTTCAAACCCGTCTGTATATAATTCGGTAAGACCATTAAAAGTGTTCAGTTAAAAATCAAGGATGATCGTAATTACCAGTTTAAAATCTCTGTATTGAAATCATGGAATTGCTTTCTTAATTTACATAAAATGAGACATAATGATGCAGATTTAATAATTACCAACACAGAGGTAACCTCACAAACTAAATTGTTTGAGGGAAAAAGTTTACATTAATGTAACAAGAAATGGTTATAATGAGATTTGTGGGAAATGTACACAATGTTATTTTTTTTCTCTCAAAGCTTACTGTTCTCAACAAGTTCACATGTTCTTCTCTCAGCTTTCCGTATATGTCTTTCATTTTCTTAAACTTTTCTTCGTTGGCTTTTGTCGCTTCTGAAACAAAAAGAAAGCAATATAACTTGACTTAAAATGTTCAAGGTATCCGTCTACCCAGAAATAAATAAAAAATATTGAAATCAACAAAAATCAAAGATTGATGAAACCTCTGAAATACATAACAGGTACATACCACTAACCCATCAGTAGTCTTCATCTGACAAGACTATAATTTGAATTTTTGAATGGAGGTAATTCCCAAATATACCAGATACGACAACAAGGTAAAAATAAAGGGAATTTATTGAAAAGGACAAGACATATAACATTACAAATAAACCTCGAAATATCCTATAATGATATGATATATCTGTCACCATACAAACGGAATATAAATTATCTTAAATCTTACTTTCCGACTCAGACAGCTTTAGAGCAGCACCAGCATGTACACTTGCTTCTTCAAGTTTTTTCTTCAGACTGTCATTTTCCTTTACAAAAGTAAACAAATATTTTGTTTTTAAATCAAATTTTCACCCACTACTTAAAAAGGAATTCTCATATAAAGCTGTTTTGAAATCCCATAAAACCTATCTAATAAACAAGGCCCAATGGGCCTTAATCGCTTACCTGTTACTCAATGTTCATCACAAATAGAATCAGTGTTTATCACAAATACATTTAAATGTACACCATTGACACAGGTTTTGACAAATTCAACCACCTTGACTTTAAATAAGAATCAAGGTCATTCATTTTAACAATCTTTCTTGGGCTTTATCCAAGCAACCTATCAGTTGAATACCATAGATCTGCGCCTTTTGGTTGGTCTGAAGATAATTTATGGCATTAACAAAGTTGACCCCTGTGACCTTGAATAAGGATCGGGATAATATCTTTTACCGGGCTTCAACCCAGAACCCATCAGCCAAGTATCACGACACTTGGTCTGTTAGTTTTTGAGAAAAATCTTAAATGGAAAAGTTGACACCAATCCGATTGACATTGGATGCCGCACCATTGGAAATGCTCACTTGGCAGTTCAGGCCAGGTGAACTATCAAAACAATAGGTCTACCTTATTTTCTGGATTATAAACCACATCTTTTTACCTCATACATGCAGCTTATATATTGTAATGACTTATATGAGGACGAAAAATAAATCGGCAGAGTGAAAAAAAAAAAACAAAAAACCGATAAGTGTCAACAATAGTGGTCACCACTTCCACTGTGGGTCAGGGCCAAATTTATCAAAATTAGGCTTGATTAAAAAAGCTCTCTCTGCAATTAATTTTCCTTGAACTTTATTATTACTTCACAGATAAGTGAACCTATGTTAGAATAATTTATTATCTTTTTAATTTTTTTTTTTTCAGGACTGTGTAATTTTGTACAACAGAAATAACTGCACTACCTTTAGAGATTTTTCTGCAGATAATCGTAGTTCCGATAGAATTTTTTCCAACTTTGCGATTTCCTCTTTCTGAGCAGTGATGATTTTCATATCCTGTATCAGAAAATATTTGTTCAATATCAGTCATTTTCTTGTTGCTGTCAAAACTATTTAACGTTCATTGTAAAAATCACACTCCTTAATTGACAGTTTCCCTATCTCATGCTAGGTACTGATATCTGATATATATTATCAGTGATTATTATGAAGAAAAATGCATCTGTTGTAAAGATCCTTTTAAAGTATAATTCAATATACAGTTGTAATCAATTAAATACATCAGGAATATCTTCTATCAAAAACTGAACTGCTACTTAAATCGATGAATTAACATTTTATATCAGTACAACTTGACAACTTTATTTTATAAGGATGACTTACCTCAGCTCTCATTCTTTCTAATTCTGCTCTCAGCTGCTGGACCTCCCGTGTTAGACGCTCAATCAGCAAATCTCTGAAAAAATATATCAACTGCATTGATGTACATCTAGATATTAAGGAGATCAGGTAGACTTGACTATATCTTATTCCAATTTTGTTCACCTGAAACTTAAACCATTAACTAAACGCACATATCTTAAGGTTTCCATCCATCTGTTGAAAGCTGATGTGAATCCTATACATACATTCCAACATGAAAGTACCCATCTATACAGCTTATTGAATGGCAATACTGACAGCCTGTCAATTTTGGATCCTAACATAACAGAAAAGTACACTTTGACTAAAAATCTCTAAGAAACCACTTATCAGAGACTGTAATGTTGAAAATTACCAATACTATCAGAACGTGGCCACGGCTGTGCTGCCACAAACACAGATTCCATTCTTGTCTAAAAGAAGAAAATGATGCTGGATTTCCATATAAACATGTAAAGTAGAACCTCAACCACAAAGTTTCTGTGTAGATACCATTCATACCTCAGAAACACAACCCTTTGAAAAATGACCCCAAGTATGTAACACAGGAGTTATTATATAAATTAATTTTATATCCTTAGGAATGAAATTATAAGTTGTTCTGATATTGTTATACACAGCAGTGCAGGAACTAAAAACAGAAATGGGGTTGAGTATGGTGTGTTGGGTTATGATAGATCAGTTGGTAGAGCACCCAGCATTTCAAACTAAGGGGTGTAGTGTAATCTCTACCAAGGGCAGTTTTCTTATTTGCTAGAATCTAGGATCAAGGACCATCCTCTGCTGTTGTAATTGTGTCCTTGAATGATTTGGGTGATTCTAAACTCTTTTGATAGCAGCTGAAGGGCCTCCCACATGTTGTTCAGTGAGGTCGCCACCAACCTCCAAATCACCTTGGATGTTGATGAGGTCATAAACCCGACAAAATAAAATACAAGGTGACCCCCACTTCCAAATCACCCTGAATGTTGATGAGGTCATAAACCCAACAAAATAAAATACAAGGTGACCCCAACCTCCAAATCACCCTGGATGATGATGAGGTGATAAACCCAACAAAATAAAATACAAGGTGACCCTCACCTCCAAATCACCCTGGATGTTGATGAGGTCATAATCCCAACAAAATAAAATACAAGGTGACCCCCACCTCCAAATCACCCTGGATGTTGATGAGGTCATAAACCCAACAAAATAAAATACAAGGTGACCCCCACCTCCAAATCACCCTGGATGTTGATGAGGTCATAAACCCAACAAAATAAAATACAAGGTGACCCCCACCTCCAAATCACCCTGGATGTTGATGAGGTCATAAACCCAGGAAACAAACAAGGACTAAAGAAGTAGATAAATATATTTGGATTTGAGTTATTACCTCTCATCTGTTTCTGGTGGACCAAAGCCATTTCCAAAAGATTCATCAAACTGGAATGAAAAAAAACCGCTTTGCTACATATGTCAAATATTTTCACCTTTTGACTGAATTATCATATGATTTCCATATAAAATAGCAAATGTCACAAATATATGTATAAGAGGTTGTTTAAACAGACATTTTTACCATATTTATGTCCCTATAAGCTTACGCTTTGCACAAACATACATATATTGCTGTTGTGTAAGTAGATTTAAAAACAAATACTACTGTATTGTCCTGTCGTAAGCCCCACCCTGGGCTTATTGCAGGGTGCTTTAGTTGTCGTTTATTAATACCTGCGGAGGATCTGAAGTATCAACCAGATCTCCGATGCTGTCCGTGTCTGGAGTTTCAAGTTCTGGCTCTGGTTCCGTGGGAACAACAGCCACAGGCTTTACATGTTTGTTAAAGTCCGAGGCGATCAAGAAATTAGGTGGCTCCTGAAATTCAATAATCTTTCATATTACATTTAATCTATCACAATTTTGAATTTTGAATTTTACATAACCTATTTTTTATTGTCCAAGAAGAAATGCACCTTTCAAACAACCACACTACAAAATATTTTATCCTCTCAAAATACTTCATTCTTGTATGAGGACTAAAAAATCAATTACCTCATCCAGACATACAAAGTACAAATACATGTATATATATAGCAGAACTGAACCTGTCACTAGATTTGAATACTTTGGTTGAAGATCAACACCTAGATTTACATACTTACATCAGGTAAAAACGGCACCTGGACTAGATTTTTGAAGTACTGTAAATTACTGCTGCTGAGGTAAAACTGCTTAAGACTGAAATGAAATAAAACATGAAATTCCACATCTATGCAAAAACAATGAAAAGTAACTTCTAGTTATGAAAGCAAATTTGAAAGCAATGTTAGTTGAAAATTTATTTCAGATATCTCTAGATGTTTTGTTTAATATGTGGTGGACTTATCTTTTTCACAATACTGATAACATTAATCCAACAGAATGGAAATGGAATAAAATTGCATGTTTAATACAATTTTCATGGAATGTACATCAACACTTAAAATCTACCCAGGACTTCATTATGTAATTGTTTAAGATTTATGAGGAACAAAATATTCAAGTTTAAATACACAAATCAATTAGACAAAGAAATAAAAAATTAGTTCAATATCAAACCATTTGTCTTCGAAAAATAAAACAAACTTGATATAAATAAGGAGATTTTTTTGTAGTTGTTAATTTCTATACCGGAGCACTCATGTCACATGAAATAACCTAATGAATTCCAGAAATCATATAAGTGTAAAAAGATGATCATGTCCATATTGGGAATTATTTGACTCAAAATACAATCTTATGTTTACTGTATGCATGGTGAAAATATCCATCTTTACCAAGCAGTGAAATTGATATCCAAACATATCAATTTCAATCCACAAAGTTTGACGAATATAAAAGAGTCAGAAGAAATTTTTGGGATCAAGAAGATTTCTCACCGTTTATATGCTGATAGAAAGCGGTCCCTGTGACCTGCTAATGTATCTGGGGGGAGACCTGAAAACACAATACATATTTTTTTTCCCAATCTTGAGGTGTTCATCATGTAGCAAACTAACTTTAAGATCAAAGTAAAATCGCAAGTACCTATATTATAAATATTAGTTTTTTAAGTTTATTGAAAATGATACTTAAAGAATTTTTCTTAAACATTATATGTTCAGTAATACTGGTTTCATTTGTAAGTGATCAACACTAAAATTCATATTTCACATTAGATTAACAATATTCAATGTGATAATTTTTAACAAATTACAACGGAAAATTTAAAATAAATTTTAAGATATACCCTGGCATCTATAACTAAATATGTGTTTATTCAGTTTATTTTTTCTTCAAAGCGTATAATTCTGTTTTCTCACCCTAATTTTTAAAACAATAAAAAAAAATTCATAACGAAATTTAAATGATAAGTAATCCAACTTACTAGAATGTAGCCTAAACAGAGATTTAACAATGTAATCATACAGCTGACAGGAGTCCTGTATACACAGAATCAGGGGAGCTAATCGACACTGGCCAGAGTTCGTCATCGAGTTGGATCTTGACATATCCAGAGAACCAAAAACTGAAAACACAAGTCAATCTATTCATCATCTCTGTCTTAAAATCAAAGTGCAAAAGTGCAATCACTTGTTGTAGATCAGAAGATAGCGTGCAAGTTATTTAGGAGCTAAGAGGCCAGAACATAGACCCCCTTACTTTTTCATATGGAAACCATAATGCATGATTATCGGGGTCACTCTACTATTGTTGTTAAAAACAAAATCAAAATCAGATAAACTGTATAAGATAGTCTTAAATTAATTTCCTCATGATTCTAGCATCTGTATTTTTCTATTTTAATGTGTCTGGGTTAACAATGTTAATATGGTGATGAAAGCATTTTTATGTAGTAATAATATAACGTTAAATTTTTCAAACCAGGAACCATGTGGTGCATTCTGAGGAGTGACCGATGATTAATCACAGATTTTAACAAAATTTAATGCTAATTTGTACATTTCTTATCATTTTTTCTTCAAATTTCAGCCAAAAATAAATTATGAAATGAAATTAATGTTATATCCACTTCAGACGTTTAGTACACTCACCATGCTGCTGGAGAGTAAGGATTTCATCCATGTAGTCCAGCATGTCCACACAAATCTCAAAACTGAAGTGGCAAATTAACATATATACTGTCATACCTACAAACCAGTTATATAGAACATAAATATGGAGATTTTAGTGGTAATTATATTTTCCTGCATTTTGTGCTAAAAAAATGTTAAAATAAAATCATATCGTCAATTACAGTTCCTGAAGATAATCTCTTTGGCAAGTATAAAAAACACACCACTGTGCTAAAATATTAAGACATCAAATTAAGAACATTTTACAGTTTCATTTACAATTTAAAAACAATTGACAATGAGTACAATTTTCATAACATTGACATAAATACCACGGACTAAAAACACACTTAATAGCAGTAGAAAGAGCACTTTTTCAAATCTTATTTACATGTCTATAAAATTATTTGATGAATAAAAGGCACTAAAAATCATTCTCAAATATTTATTTCTAGATCAAAAATTTTGTTGTAAAGTTGAATTATGTTTATACAGTCAATAACCTCTGTCAAGTTATACTGCATACAAGAAGAGACATGTATTTTTGTAATTACTAAGTAATACTCAGTAATTTTGTCACAGCAGAAACTCCTCCTGGGAACAAAGACTGCTGGATAAATCACCCAGATTCAAACCATAAAATCATCAAAATCAGGAAACAATTATTTAGTAGGGCATAAACATAGGGTTATTACAACCAAACATCACTTTATTCATCAGTAATTACAATAAATTGATTTCAATCATAAAAACTTCACACCAGTTTTTAAAATCATTACAGCATATTCTGAGAGATTTTCCAAAATGCAGTATCTTGAGAAAGTTTTGAACGTTCTCGCTTTTTAAATTCAAACGATTATTGAGACTTTCATTTCACAGCTAGATTATCAAACAGTATACATTTCATAAATGAAAATTATTTAATAACTAGGAAATACCAAGAAGGTGATATTTATGAAAATAACATTTTTCTCTCAATCCATGTATGTACCCAATTTTATAAATTAAAAATCATTATCACTAGGACTGAATTTGACAAACATTGTCCAAATACTAGCCTAAGTACAGCATAAACTATTGTAGTTTTGAAATCAGCAAGCAAAGCCTTGGTACTCTACCTAGCTAGCTTTAACTAGCTTATTTGTATATACTTTGACCAGTTTCAATTTAGGTGAAAAAGGACTAATGCATTTGAAATATGTCCAGTAATACCTTTTACAAAGTAGATTCCACCTAATTAGCCGAAAATATTCCAATGTACTTTCAACTTTTTTTGTACCAGTCCCATGAATAATTATATTCTACCAAAATCTAACCAAATTAATTAAAGAGAGAACTTGCTTAAGGAAGCATGTCTATTTAATCATCAAATATATAATTTTTTTTTTTTAAATCTTTGAACAAAATATCAATGTTCTGACATATCCACCACCAATAAAAACACATATTTAAACATGCATTTGATTTCAATTAAACCCCCATTCCTTATAATTGAATTACAGATTTAAATTTTCCATAAATTAGGCCCAATCACCAGATTTCCCACAATTTGTCCCATCACCATATCAATCAAACCTATTCTGCTAGATATACTGGAAGTGTAAATCAGCCTAGGATGTTATCCAGAATATTTATCAAATATATTTCCACTGGAGTCATCAACAGTCCTCATAATCTTGATAAGAAACATTTCACAAGCAGAAATAGTGGACTTTAAATGGAGCACTTTGGCTTATGTTAAAAGAAAGTACTAGAGAGTTGTCAGAATTCAGAGACAAATGATGACCAAAGGAAAAAACCAAAAGTACCCATCAGAATAAAACTGATCAACACATTTACTGTTAGAACTTAAAATAAAAACCACCCCAGTCATAAGAATATTCATAATTCTCAAACAAATATAATTTTTTATTTGTTTGTCAACATTTATGCTATCAAAACATTCCTCTAATTTTGACCCAGAAAAAACCCATAATAATTTGATTACATTTTGAACACTTGATTATATAATAAGTAGATATCTATGAAAGGAACTCTGTTTAAGATATCAATGTTAAGTAATCAAAAACAGTCCTTTGTGTTATATTTTCTTAAATATACATTCTGTTTATGGTGACACATCTTTTTGATGATAAATAATTTGATATAAAATTGTATTAATTAAAAGTAATGGCATTTATACTCTTCCATATAATATCTAGCAGTATCTGATATATGACACCAGGTCCTGTATTTCTAATGAATATTAAGACCATTTTTATATAAAAGCTTCATTACCTAAATGATTTGTGACAACCATTTTCAACCTTATGCAGTGACATTCTTTTTGATAATGGTGTTCAGGGGACTGATCTGACACCCAGATGCCACATCTGACACCCAGATGCCACTTACACTGAATAGAATTTTTTACATAAAGAAATTCTTCATTCTTTCAATACATGTATAAGAAGTTTTGTTTGAGTGAAGAAATCTCTGAATTAAAGCAAATTAAAGGAATATTAGACAATGTTATTGAATAAAAGAAGATGTTAAGGTATTTGCTTATATTTACCAGGTACATATGGGAATGGTTATTTAAAAATGGGTAAGGTTCCCAATTTAAGTCATGAATGCATATGTCAAATACTGTTCCTTTTTTTCCTCTTATTTTTGTGCTTATTCATATCACCATCTTTAATTGTTCACACTGTTCAAGGAATTTTATTTATTCTCATAACTAACAATTAAGAGAGGATTGGAAAAATCTACATCTTTCCATGAATGTATCAAATCTACATCTTTCCATGAATGTATCAAATCTACATCTTTCCATGAATGTATCAAATCTACATCTTTCCATGAATGTATCAAATCTACATCTTTCCATGAATATATCAAATCTACATCTTTCCATGAATGTATCAAATCTACATCTTTCCATGAATGTATCAAATCTACATCTTTCCATGAATGTATCAAATCTACATCTTTCCATGAATATATCAAATCTACATCTTTCCATGAAGGTATCAAATCTACATCTTTCCATGAATGTATCAAATCTACATCTTTCCATGAATACATCATTTAGAAAATAAAACCTCATACTACTGAAATTTTCTCAGTTCATTGTTTTTAATGGGTTATCTCCCCTACCAATATCAATACATGTACCTACAAAATTTTAATCTAAACACAACAAGACCTAGGTGTCATCAATTTGTCATTAGTTTTCCAAATACAAGCAACAGGTGGTACCACGTGCACCAGTCGGCATATGTTAGCCAAACAAAGGGAGGTAATTCACACTTGCCTATACATGGCATCGCTGTGCATTCATAGAAAAAGGCATTCACATGGTTAGTATTTATACATTTAGTTGTGTCACAATCCTCCCAAAATTTCAAGACTTTGTAACATAGAAATTTAAAGTTATTTACATTTAAAGTTTAATTAATGTAATTATTACATTAATTGGTTTCTTGTCAAAATCTTAAGCCTTTATAATATATCATGTATACGCCAGGTAACAAAATTCAAATTGGAAGGAAATAGATCTTGTTGATGATTTTTTCCCCTGTATCATCATTAAGTTAACTAACAAAGTCAAATCAACACATATCATATTAGTATTTTCACACATCGATAAGACAAACAATGCACAAAACAAAAGTTATATTTCAAATTCAATTCTTGTATAAATAAATAGTTTCTCACTCAAGAAACTTTTTTTTCCGGACAGCTGATATGACTCAATATTATTTTCAATCTTGTTTGCTATATACAATTTTATAAAAAATGTAATTTCTTTTTATGTACAAAAATTTGTATGAAGATTGTCTTAAAATTTGAGGATGACTGCGAAATCATATTACAAATCTATTACATGAGACCCATTCATCTTCTCCATTTGATAATAACCAAATCCCCTTTCTTATAACCGATTCCCCAATATATGTTTATTAGTAACGACCACATTCAATTTCAATCTCTCCTTTTTTCCCATCACCTATACTTTTTAAAGAGTGAATAAAACAAAAAAATCAGTAAAAGATGATATTGAAAATAGAAATAATATTTATACAGAATAAAAATGAAAGATTATTTAATCAAGCGAGCTTATGAAATTTAACATTTCTATATATTGTACACCATACTAAAGTTACAGAAAATCATGATACTAAATATTTATTTTGTACAATTTAGGGAGTCATAATGCTTTGTATAAATTCATGGTACTATCAATGTCCAACATCTATCAATATGAATTCATGGTGCTATAAATCTCATTCAAATAAGCTGTGCTAAGCTCTCAAACAACTACAAAATTTACAATACTCACTAATTGTTCACATCAGATCCACAGATTTTAGAAAATTGTTCGTCAGACATAATCAGGCTTCCTGGTATACGATTGTTCTACAAATAGCACAAAAACATCAGCAATGTCAAATAAAGTTCTGTATTCTACTTTTTTTTCAAAAAAAATCTTTTGTTTTCTATTTTTTTTTTTTTTTTGAAGAATTTACATGTAAAACAAATAAACACAATACATGTACATGAAAATTCCATAAACTCCCGATTCATTAATCAGCAATTATATACTGGATCATTCTCACTTGTGCTCACTTAAACAAAAGACGAAGAGAGGATAGAAAAAGGGGTGATGGAGAGTGTGGAGGGGAGGGAACATTGGAATGTGAGGGTGGGGGGGAGAGCGGGATGAGGTGGGGGATAGTATGTAAGAGTGGTAGTTTCTCCAGACTACTTAAATTTATCAATCAGATATCATTTATGATGAATGTTTATTTAATAAATAAATATATAGACTGTGCTGTGTCGGCTTGATTTACTATACGTATACAGGCATCATGAAATATAAGGCAAATTCGAAGTATTAACAGTAAAATCACACTACAGATAGATGTATAAATAACTAATGAGAACTTCATAAAAGACAAACATTCAAATACAAACATTGAGCATATACCATAACTGGTTACTCATATTTCGATTAAATTGGTTAACTTAACTGATTACCAATAAATCAGATAAAACCACAAATATTATTTAAGTAGGTAGCCAAGTATACCATAACTGGTTACTTATACAGTGGTTTAAAAAATATGAAATAAATTATCAGATATACCATATACTAGTTACCTACAGACTAATTACTCAATCACATAAATAGGTAATCAAATTTACAGTACACTAGTTATTAAGATCTACTGGTAGTAAAGAAGTTATTTATATATATACAGACAAGCAGATATGTCATATACTGGTTACTAATAGACCGATTCCTATCAAGCTAGGATACAGATCCGGACACTAGAACAAAGGTTACTAAAGTTACTTGTTTAAATGGGAGTCAAACATACCATAAACTGGTTACTTATGTTACTGTGAATATAAACTACTAGTCACATGAGTAACTGTACAGTTGATATCACCACAAATTGGTGACTAATATATAAAACAGGAAAAAAAACAATATGGTCTGGAGCAAAAATAACTGCTTGCATACATATAACTACATTTTGTATATATAATGAAACAAGTCCATTGTTTCCTGGTATAACAGTGAGTGGTCACAAATCTATACAGGTGATATATCCATGAGCTTGTTGGTGTATAGACCATTGTAAAACTGGAAAATTAAAATATCTTAAACTGATTACTTGTGTAGTACTCCAACACTGGGGACTTGCACAAATTTAAAAAGATAAACAAAAAAAAAAAAAAACTATAGACTATGCTTATACAGGATCTCTGAAACTCCAGAACTAAAGATCTAACAGTGGTTTCCATTTCCTCCAGTGTAATTCGATTTGTCTTTTCCTGTACCCATTTTTTTCTACTATTTATGTATTTATTGACTGTAAAGTTATCCTTAATTGCATTGATTAGGGCATTCACATCTAAGGATTTGTTGAGACATCTGCTCTTGTAGATATACCTGGTAGTATTTAATAACTAATAAAATTTTATTATCAAAAGAGTTGCATTGGTGTGAAATTATTCCAAATATAAACAAACTCTTATTGTATGCAAAAGGTATTTATAAAAGATCTAGAATTGTTTCAAACTGCTGAAGAAGCTCTTGCACTTTTTCACAATACCAAAGACAATGTATGATAGTTTCATTTTCAGTATTACAAAAACAACATGTCAGACTAGGAGCAAGTTAATTTTATGAAGAAAAGAATTTGCAGTAAGAACACTGTATTCGATCCAATAAGCGCCCAGGACGCTTAAAAAATTGCAATTAAGGGGGGCGCTTATTAGAGATCATCTTAGATGTAAAAGAAACACATTCAGTACTGAAAAATCTGCTTCCACCAGGAACTTTCTGTCTCCTTTCTGAGGTGTTTTGTAAAAAGGTTTTCAATTCACTCTCTTTTTGTCTCCAATCACGAATTCGCTTTCTATCTATACCATAATGCTTTGATGCTTTGCTGTTTCCCCATTCCTTGGAAAACTCCACAACTTTTATCTTGAAAGAAATTCCATACGAGATTGTGATGTGTCTGTGGTTGCCATAATTTCAGTGTCAACCTCCATGTAACAAAGTGCACTCTGTCATTATGTGCTCGTCAATAAATTGTTTCAGATCATCTTAACATGATGACACGAAAGGGAATTTGTTTATGATGAAGATATAAAATTCCATTCAAACTGTTTCAGCATAACTATTTTATTTGTCGTTTGATATCTAACTGCTACATTGTTTCTGTCAGATAATCTATCACACATGAAAATATCATTTCTTAATCTGCTGTATCAATGGCTATATTACCTGTTAAGTAATGGACAATGCATATTCAGTCGTCGTTACTGTTGTTGAGCGCGCGACACCAAGGTACACAAGGTAAAAGGTCATCTACCACGTGGTTCATGAATATGTGAAACAAATGTCTTTTCTGTATGAATATTCGTCTGTGGTAAGGGGATATCATGTTTATACAGAGTGCTAGAAACAATTCAAAGGGCAGTGCCTTGATACAGTTATAAGACCTTTCACTGTGATGTCACGAAGTCACGTGCATGAATGGTCTAATTGAGGATAATAATCCGTTTACAATCAGAGTTGTAAAAGAATGGAAAACAGTGGGTCACATTCCAAGTGAACTGTCAAAAACAGCTATTTTTTTATCAGCCATTGTCGGAAAATTGTGGTAATAGTTACAGAGGACACTTATCGGCATTCCTCTGATGCTGGTGGACTGGAGATTAACTGTTTTTCACGTTTTTCTGGAGAACATCTCCTTATACCCCGACTTAAACCACTTCTTGATCGTGTCGAAAACGTAAGTAAATCATGGGCGCTTATTGGGTCGAATGCGGTATAATGAAAGACTCTAATGTGTGTTATAAAATTCATTTAAATGGTCTACTTGGTTCAATGAACTATTGCACTAGAAAGAATTCTCAATATTTAATTCAAAATTAATTTTTTATGATCCCAGGTTATTGTGACATCCTGTCATACCTGACATGAAACAATCAAACCTGGGTGTTGGTACATATGGGTACATACTAAATGTTATACTGCACAAACTGACTTACCTTTTTGTGAAATTTGAGTTTCTGTACTAACAGCGCGCAATAGCTGGCTATCAGACGTCCATAACCTTCGCGCAAATGGCTCTGAATAAAAAAGTGCATCACACTTTTCACAATTTTTTTTTTTATAATCTTTTGGTTTCTTTACTTTTTTTAAAATCAAGATGACAGCATATATTTCATTTTCCACATATCATCACAATTTGAAACTCTGAATATCGATAAACTTTGTTTTTAGTTTTGATTAATTCGGAATAAAAACAACAAAGTCTGAAGACAACCTGGAAAATATATTTATACAATATTTTACTTGTGATTTCTATAAAACATATTTCATTCAAATATTACAAAATCAAACTATGTTGAAACTTACCCATAGTTTTCCCAAATCTGTTATGTGGGTTGAATATTTCCAGGAATCATGCATGCTCTGTGATAGAAAAAGCAAATCTAAATACATCTGTTCCCTTCATTACAAAAGAACTTATCCTTACATCAAATCTGTAAAACATCTACCGTAAAGGATTCCTCGATGTTGGTCCCCCATTGTTTACCCTAATGAACTTAGTATTCTAGGATGGATGTTTGTATATCCTTGTTGTGTATCCACCTTCAAATTCTCTACCAGAAAGACCAAAGGCCATTGCTCACATACCTGTGTTGGTTTACAAACTTTTTCACTTTTATTTGTGTAAATGTACCCAAAACCTTTAAAAGGTTTGAGGATTTTCAACAGTACTTTATCAGGTATATGTCACACTAATTACCCTTTTATGATTTAACAAAATTCCATTGCATTCATAACAAGATGACTGCAACAACATTCATACTTCTGGTAATTGCCATTAAAATGTGAATGAATGAATGAATTGCCATACCAATGCTAAAATAATTTTAGTAACAAGTATTTCAGATTTAAACATATTTTCAATGAAAAAAACAGTAATATTTACTTTAAAGAATAATACTGTTTCTCAACACATCCATTATTTAAAGAGTTTCAAAATAAAAGCATGCTCACATGTTTGTGACCCTCACGGAAGATCTTGTGGAGAACATGAAGGAATTTCCAGCACACAATCGGATTTCCCTGGACTGGAAGTTTGGAGGCCACACCCCAAAAGAGACTTGCTCCATTGTCTTGGAATGTTCCCAGCACCGTGGCTGATTTTGGTTAAGGAAGTTTGTTGTGATAATAAACACTTCTGTAAAACCATTAATCTTCATGGGGGATTTATTTTCATTGAATATGTAGGTACCCTAATCCACAATTTTTTATAATCAGGAAAAAATGAACAGATAAAAAATGACATGGATTAGAGTACTAGCAGATATTGTGAGCAAGATTTAACCACAAAATCAAGTGCCAGTAAAATTTTAGCCTCACCAAAATATATGATTTCACAGTAGTTAAATTTTTAACTTCAATAGTGTTTTTATAATGTTGATGTGGAAACACAAACAGTATGCTGAGATTTACATTCCATATGAAAGAGATCACTCTTGTAATTTGATAATTTCTGGGTTTTTGCTAACTGAAAAAATATCTGTTAATGTCATGTTCTACTTAATATCACAATATTTCCTGACAACATGTAATGCAGCGTCCTTGTTAAATCATACTCACCAAACGTTCAGGAAATTGAACTTTCTTTTAATATGTACCGGTACATGACATTTGTATATATATATTCTCAAACACATTATGACCCCATGTGTCCAGTTGATATTATCAGTTAAAATTGTCACATAAACACCCATGGTCATTTTCAGATCAGGTGGCTTTGTCAATGAACAACATTAGGAAGGCCTGTAGCATGCAGAATTGTTCAATTCTAATTTAAATCACTTTTTTGAGGATGGGTTTATAGGAACCGACTGTTTTGTATAAGCAAAACCAAATTCTTCTCAGGGAACAAACATGAACAATTAATGCAGCCTTATTGAAGAAAGCATTAATTTGTCAAAAAGTCATTGCATGACTTTTAAAAGACTTCAAACACTTCGTGTCTATAAATAAACATTAATTTCCTTCTACAATATACTTGATAAATCATCGTAACAAACCTATCAGTTGACACATGCAGACTTACTGGATACTTCACATTGTCAAGTAGGCATAATCTGATCCACTACTAAAGACTAGTTGTGTATACATACGACAAATGATCATTTATAGATGACTCCACAAAACTGATATTAAGTCATTTCCGTTGCATTTGATATCTTTAATGCAAGGCTGGGAAAATTCATATTTAATGTCTGCTCTTAAAAAATGGGAGAAAAAAAAGAAAAATCACTTAAATTAATTTATGCATTCTGCTTATACCTTAATTCAATATGTTGTTAAAATTTTGAAACGTAAATACACACTGTGTGATTAAGTTTGTGTTTTCTCATTTTCTCAATGTAATATAAATCAATTTTACCCTTTACATACAGTAAAATATTTTACATTGAAACTAATGTGCAGTTAAATAAGTTATAAAAAAAACTTTTATGAAGAAAAATCAGGTTTTATACAAGTCAACCTTCCATACTTTCTAATTCATGATAAGGAGAGTTTGAGATCACTGATTTGTAGCCCCTGCATAACATATAAATCATGAATAGTCTTCTAAACTACTCATAATTTCAAAATTTCTGTCATTCCAACAGACAAATTCTGTTTTAAAGTATCAGTTCATGCAACCTCCACTATGGAATTCCAAAAAGTTCACAAGTCTCAGAGTTCAGAACTTGAAATAAACATAATTGTATCGAAATGTTAACTTAGAATGAAAATACTGTACAAATATTAATCTTGATCTCATCACTCAAAGGCTAATTAATTAATTAAGCAATAAGTTCAAAATAACTTAAATTCCAAAATATAGATACAAAATATAGATACAAAATATAATTTAAGACTTGAAAAGAACAGTTCAGTCTGCAGTCAGTATCGAATAGAAGCCTGGATTCTGCAGTTTTTCCTTTAGTCTTATCTATTGTAAAAGAGTGCTCACTCTGTATCCTTCTAGGCCTAAGCTGTTCCAGAAAACTACCACTGTACATTGTACTAGGAGATGATATACAACATACATGCACTTATTAGACATTGGCTCTAAAAGGACTTTTTTCTCTGGGATATTTTTCTCCACTAACTTTATAATACCATAATAATCACAAATAGAAACTGGTTTCATTACCAGTAATATCAGAGTATATCAATTTGAACAGGATACAGACATTGTTGTTTGTTTCTCACATTACAAGTAACTGATGATATCAGATTAACGATCAGTGATTTTACAGATATTTATCACGATAAATACTGTAAAAGTACAAGTTCAATACACAGGAAAAGATAATATAGTGGTACATGTACAGTCAGGTTTTGGAAGTACATATATACAAGCACAAAGATCAGGATTTTTTTCCCCAAATATTTTCTGGGTTAACTGGCTGATAAAAAACAATGTACAGACATGTGAGTCACACAGGAGAAGGATCATACACAGGTCAATGTGAGCAGCTGTACTGTCCCAAACAGGAAAGTAAACAACTCCATATAAACACACTACTTTTTTGACCAGAGTTTCTGAGAAAAGCAGTTTTACTATATATGGGAAAACCCTCGTGTTAGTAACAGGACAAATTTTATTTGACCTGATTTCAATTTTTATAAACCAATTTTTTATATGTTCCAGTTCGAAAAGAAAATGACATTTAAATGAACTTTGAGGATACTTAATTAAGCAACTGCTCAGAGGAAATAGACCTGCCTACATGAATACCATTTCTGTTGTAACTAATGCTTTGTCCCACAGCAAGATTATGTGTAATTATATTCCAAAACAAATCTGTACACTTGCCCTGCCCTCAAAATTGGTTTTAACATTTACAAAGCTTGGCCTAAATATGAATATATTAACTGACTTTCACACTAGCTGCTGTTTTCATTACAGTTAGTCATCAGTAAAACTTCTCCTTAAAAAGTCAAAATACAAACACCTTTGAAATGAAATGAAAGGCAAACATCATGATTTAATATACAGGGTTTTCCATACTTTTGTTAGTAGTAGCCGGTCAAATCGGCCAGCGACAGACTCTTATGGAAAATCCTGAATATATATGAATTATAATGAATCATTTCATCTCTAAATAACACAAGAGTTCCTCGGAACTGTATGTGTCGCCTGCATACAGTGTCACAGTCACCCAGAAATCGAACTGGATGTGCAAAGTTCAACCATAAAGTTGTAATACCAAATTTCATTTCTATAATTCAAAGCATAACCAAAGAGAGTCCAGAAAACAATATTCCCAGAGAATTTTCTAAGTTCAAAGGGGCATTACTCTGCCAAGAAGGGTCACAGACAGCCAGAAATCAAACTTAATCTGTACCCTTCCAACAAAAAGCCATATACCAAATTCCATTTCAATAACTCAAAGGATAACCCAAAAAAGTCTGGAAAACAGTATTCCCAGCGAATTTCCTAAGTTCAAAGGAGCATAACTCTGCCAAGAAGGGTCACAGACAGCCGGAAATCCAACTTAATCTGTACCCTTCCAACAAGAAGCATATACCAAATTTCATCTTGATAACTCAAAGCATCACCGAAAAAAAGTCCAGAAAACTTTTGTACTGATGCCGCCAACGTCGCAGATGCCGCCAACGTCGCAGATGCCGCAGACATGTGACAACGGACAAAGTGATCCCTAAGTGTCCGCTAGCTCTGCAGGCGACACAAAAACTGAGATTAAAAAAGTCACTGTTTTGTGATGTTACTAATTTTCATGATCAATAGACTTAGATGTTGCCTACTTTCCAGGGCTAAGCATATATAAAGGGCATTCAATTTTTTACATAATTAATACTTAAACAGTACCATCATTAACACATATATTTAATTTGGATTCAAAGTTTGACTACTTGATGTAGACTTTGACAGTATTACAATACTATATTTTACTACCTTGATATAACAACAGCAGCACAGGAACACAATGTGTTGATGTTGACCTTATCAAAAGCATCTCCCTGCCACTTTGGATATAAATGGCAAATATTCTACCTTTAATTTCATGTTGATTCACTTTCAAGTATTTTCCTTCGGGAAAAACGTAACTTGCAATTTTAAATATGACGTAAGTATGAAGGTTTTTCTTCCGTTTTTTTTTTCTATTGTGCCATGAACATTCTGTTACAGGTACAAAAGAAAGTTAAATCAATGTTTATATTCATTAAAATTTCATACATAAATATCTATGTGAACCATGATAGATAGGATTTTTGTCAGTTTGCTCTGTTTTAACTTTATTTTACACTTAGTATAGTGATAGTGTTTTAAGCAAATTATATACTACACATATCATTGGTTTGTGACAATCTATTGTTATTATCTGGACAGAAAATTTAAAACAGAACCTAATATATTTTACTTTACATTAATAATAACAGTCTCAGTAATTAACTATCTCTGCATTATGGGTTCAATTCTAGTACAACAAATTAATAAAGGGCTGTGGCACTTCCTGTACAAGTGTACTGTTGAGGCGAGTCCAATATCTATAAGCTCATATTGACCTAAATTCTCCCTATTGTACGTATATATGTATGTAAGTATAAATCTTCATTATCTGGCTGACAAAGCAACAGTTGTGGCATCTGGTGACTAAGAAATTCAATTATTTACGTATACTGTAGACTTCATTAGACAAAGGTTCTGCAGATTTTACATCAGTGAAAGTAAAATGTTCAATATTCACTATGAATAGCAGATCATTATAGATACATATATCCCGGCTGCTATCGGCAAATTAAAGATCACGTCAAGTTACAAGCACTGATTTTTTCAATCAATTTAAATAAAATTCAATACATTTTAATGAGCTCTAATTGACTTTCTATTGATGTTGGACTGATTGAGATATTGATACGATGTACCTCTGTATCTCTCTCTCTGTTACATATTGATCATAACTGACAGAGAGGAGAATTTATGTTTCTAATTTCAGGGTATTTTCTTAAAATACAACTGGAAAATCTGGTCAGAGAATGAACACTGGTTGGGTATATAATTTCTAAAACCAGAGTGATAGGATATAGATTAATCTATAAATAGACTTTGTCTCAGATGACCTAAAAACTTACCACTGATTATGTATTCAAAGATTTCAGTTTAATGATATAATTTTCTTATGAATTGCTACCAAATGTATGAAAATAAATTGGAATGTAAATGTAGGAAAATAAATTGGAATTTAAATTGTTTTGTTTGAAATTCATTACTGTAAGTGCCTCCAACATGTATTTTGTAATATAATACAAAGATAACTATGAAATATTGATGAAAACTAAGATTATTTCAAAGTTCAACCCAATCAAAAAAAGATGGAAGGACACACATGTACAATGAACATCCTACAGTTACCAATATGGCGGATGCGGAACTCGGGAATACAACCCCAAGAATGGCATGTTCCTGCATATAATGCGCACCCCCTTTTTGACATGACAGTTTTAGCTTAAAAAAGTGTGCACTATACGCGGAAATTTACGGTACTAAGACGCCATGTCAATTAATGCCTTTTGGTGTACATACTTCTGAAGATCAGTTTGTCTGGTGATATTGAAGTTGTAGATATCATTTCCCAGAAAATATGTCTAAATTCAAGTCTATCTATGTAAAACAACATGACAACCAAATTGAAATCACTCTGTTATGCCTCTTTAGATGTGTTAAAGACTAAAAGGATACTTCTCACATGTTTTTCTTTGACAGGAGCTTCTTGATTGTTGATTGCTTTGTTTATTGCAACAGTCTGGAAAATAAACAAAATACAAATACATCTCTTCATCCTATGCTGTGTAAAAACCATTTTCCAATCATTCTGCATAACCTCATTTAGAAGCTGTTTTTGGTGGTATAGTCACCTCTTTGGTGTACTTTTATGCATTGAAAAGGAATACTCTATGTATAATTTATAATTGGATTACGAAAACGAAGACAGGTTTTGGTGTTAGTGGCAGTGTTCTATTTTAATTCTTTATGTCTAACAAAGAATAAAAACTTTAACGGATCAACATGATCTTGACTTGTTAACTTCATTCCAATATTACTGTAGAAATTCACATGTAAATGTATGGGGTGACTTTTAAATTCAAAGAACCATTTCTAATATCATGTGTCAGGGACATGTTCAAATTATTGAACAACATATACCAGTCTGCTGAAAAGTCATAGCAGATATTCAAACCTGTAAAATAAATGATTTTATTTTTTAAAATGGCAAAATGTTTTGCTAACTTTACATTTACACTTTTTAAAAGAATATATTTACATGATATTGTATGTATGTACTATGAAGAAGTAATGAAAAACATCCTGTCCCTGATGAGGTTTGAACTAGTGAACCTTCAATCTCTAGCCAGAAACTTGACTAAAGGGAAGTTCCCACTAGCTGTTGCTAGTAAGGTGACCTGTACTGTCACCTTCTACAGGTAATCTGCAGCATACATTTGATTATAAACACAACCTTCAAATTAATTTTTTATTAAATCTAAAATAATTGAAAATACTATACTACATACAAAGCTAATTACAAATACAACTTGTTTGCTAATGGTATCTATCTTGTTGGAATTAGCTTTTTCTGTACAGCTACAAGTATTATATGTAATATTTATTAATAGGCATTGATGACACACTTTTTGTAGTTACCATAATAATAAATAATTTGGTATGGTGTATATTGTCAAATTCTACCTAATCTCCTGAAATTTGAACTGATTCTAGTACAAACATATCCTAACCTGTCATCTGTGCATGGGTTTTAGCATGCCTACACTTCATTTACATTACAATGTTACAAATATTTAAAGGAGTGTATAATGAAAATTGGGAGTGACCAAGAAACATAGAAAACTATATCAATGATGGTATCAATTTCACTAGTTCAAGTATTTGTTGCAAATCATGTTCATCATTCCATAACGGATTGCAATGAGGGATATCAGTTCTTCAGATTTCTCTGATTTCAAAGCCAATTTGACAGCTGTCAACACACGTGACGTATACAATATTCATTCACTGTTTGGATTAGAGTATAATATTACGAAATACATTGCGATTGTTTTGCTATGTGTTTTTATTACCACCAAATAAGTATCATATATATACTACTAACCAATCCTCACTAAATACTATGCATGACACGAAAGATTTGAGTTGCCATCAGGTAAAATTGCCGACGGATACTCAGCAGTGACGAAATCTTATGTTGTCAAAAAGTAGAAACCACTTCCGCTGTACAAAAAAACTTTTTCTTACTTGTGTTTTCTCGAAATTTTCTCGCTCAACCTCTGTTGCTGTTCTTCCTCGATGGGAAATTACTTTAGGAAGGTGCTTCGAAGACATCTTGTTTTCTTAGATACGTAATTCACACTTAATCATCATGTTTACTTTCCTTGAAACATAACCGCAGAATTATTTCGGAACAGGATGACAGAATAACAACGACCCCTGGTGGTTAATCTCATAACTAGGAAGTGAAGAGGCGCCTGCGGGATACTTGGCTGTGGCTTCCGGTCATGAATCATAATGGAGTGTCTCATAAAATAACTTGACGCACATAAGTACATATTTTCTTCATTTTTTCTTCAACCGGAAAATATAATTGACAACAGTTTATCAGTCAAATGTGACTCTTGTATGCAATTCTTAAATTGTCTGTACCAGAAGACTAAAAATTTTCATGTTTTAAAATATATGTAGTTAATTTTGTTTCCGAGTGCACCTGAAACGGGCACAAGTTATACCCACAAATTGCTATCCTCTCCCTTTCTACATACCAAACTATTTTTTTTCATAAAGACGACACTTCTCAAATACATGTTGTAACATTTATCATTTATGTGATATATATATATATATATATATTGCATCTTCATATGCAGATATTTCTAGGGGATGACAAGGGTTACATCCCCTTACCTCTTATCGAGTCATAGACACGAGAGCCCACATGTGTAATGGGGCCAGTCATGGATGAGTGATTTTATCAAAACTACAATATATATTAATACGGACTTAGTTGTTTCTGTTTTACTCGGGAGATTCTTAAGTTCATGGTTATATAGGTATCTGTTGTAGCCTACATATATATGTTACACATCTGCTAATAGTACATAATTGGACTCATTTTGAATTTAAATCCATGATAGCATAAATATCCATGTTCAAAATCACAAAACTTTGAAATAACCACCTTCAATGATAATTACAAAAACCAAAGTGTTAAAATTCAGATGAATAAAACATCATCTTCTATTATATGAGTGCATATGGTCAGTTATTTCGAAGGACGCGCAAGTAAAACCTCAACAGAGGACCCCTATACTTTACCTGGACAGGTGTGAACTATAGCCATCTCCTTCATGGGCTTATTTCTCACCGTCTGACTATGTTCTATATGATTTCACACATTACTACAGTCATTATATGAAGAAATCCTCTGATTTGATCAGTGACGTATGATGAAGACACCCCTGGATTTGGTTTAAAACCAATAAAACTGCGAGAAGATCTGGAATTTGAAAATAATTTGAACAGAACAATTGATTATTACTGTAGCAATTAAAATTTGAAGATAAACAATAGAAAACTCTTCATCGAGGAATCGGATTGGACGGGATCAACAACATCTACCTTTAACTATATCTTAAAGTAACTCAGTATACTTAGGAAAGAAGAACAATGATTAGAAATTGATTCACCACTGCATTTTTAAAAAGACATTTTTCTCTACTGTGTAAATGCTTCTATCCAATACAAATACATAGTAGTACAAAGCAAATATCTGATTAATTAAACTCGTACATTTTATTTCTCACTAAGATTTATGACTAACATTTATAAATAGCAGTTAATACGTCAATTTTGAGTTTATATTTTTTTTGTTTTCAAATGTGAGAAAAATGAGCGTAATACAGAAGAAATGAATACAAAATTTACTTTCTGACTGTACAAGAATTGCGATGGTTCATTGCGGGGACAAACTGTTTTCATATATAATGTGCATGATGACGTGCGGCACTATGGAAACAAAACAATTTCAATTATGAGTGTATTAAACTATTCAGTCTGTATCTTTTTGACCTACATGTGTTTGGCCATAAACTTAGCTGTACTCTTATATATTTAGAAAATAGATAAACCTTATCCCACATTTCTCTATGTCATTTTAAAATTATATCAGTTACGATAGAATCGCACATCTGTGCGATAAAACATGTGCAGTAGCTTATTTCGTTCTGTTTTCCTATCGTGCGTACATCGTATAACGTTGTGCGATCCCACAACTGTATTTTAGGAAAATGGTTGTCTCCAACACGGAGAAGTAAATAATTCACATTTTATGACATTTGATGCTGAACGGATGTCTACATAGCTAAACCCACTAATTTGCCGAGTATTGGAGCGATATGGGTCTGTTTAAATAAAAAAAAAAACATGATAGAAGCCTGTCATAATTGTAGCTCTCAATATCATTTACAACCTCAGGTGAGTGTACTATCTGAGTAAATCTAGTTATACTAACTTTTTAATAGGACTTTCTCCTTCAGACGTTATCAAGTCGAAACATATACACAGGATACTTATAACCTACATGTATTGGAGAAAACCCAAACTTTTTACCGCTCACCGGTACTCAAATATGTAGATACTGAACATTTTCATGGATACAAGTACCATTAGATTTCTTTTGTAAGATTGTGGATTTAAAACCCCGAGCACGCAAATTAACGAAATTTAATTTACTTTAAAACAAAAGAAGCCAATTACCGCCCTTTTATCATATTTTATTGATACAAGCAGTTACAACTTACAAGACAGCAAACTTACACATAAATTATCTATATGTATTGATATGTTACGATTACATAGTAAATTTAAGGATAAACTTTACCCAACTACTTTCCTATATTTACAACTTCTTTTCATACATACGAGAGAAAGAGAGAGAGAGAGAGAGAGAGAGAGAGAGAGAGAGAGAGAGAGAGAGAGAGAGAGAGGTTTTTGTAATTGGATGCAATGTAAGAATTATTAAATTGACATTTACACTTCATTTCACATCTCAAACAACCAACGATTTACTTGTTCATATCCAAATGGTTCATTTTGAAACAAAATAGAAAAAAATCCTTTAATGAAAAAAGCCGACAGAAGCATTCTGCTGCAAGAACCTTGATTCTAGACCATTAGATTATAGAGTTTGAAATGTCAATGTTTCTTTCACTGGAAAAAGAAAATTGAACCCTGTATGTTTCTTAAACTGATTATTTATGCTTATAGAATTCATACCGGAAGTTTACTACAAGGGACAATACCCCAGTGTCTTTCGATCACTTTAGATTTGCCTTAGTCGCCTCTTGGGCTTTAAAATTTTAACCACTTAATGTCTCTGACGTCGCCGTCGCCGGGCATTGTCCAATCGACTGGAGTCGATTCCCTGGCGACGTGAGGGGGGTGCTCCCCTCATGGGGTGGAGTCGTCTGATTATTGATTGGTCTGAAATTTGGAGGCGACTCCTTGGCCTAATAATTGACCTTGTTGTTGAGCTTTGTCTAGACTTCTGGTAATGGAGGAGGACGTTGTCTTTCGTATCCTGTCCTATCTGCAGATCGTCCTTCTATGTGTACTAAATTTTAGATCAGAGGGAATTGAGAAGTACAGTTTTTAAAAAATCATAACACTGTGGCCGAATGTTGTTATGTATATTTGGGCTTATAAAAGATTCTGGGCGGCATTACTCGCCTACTCTTACAATTGATAACCACAGGAGGAGCTTTTTCGTGCGTGGTTGGAAGATCCTCAGACAGGTCACCACTTTAAGTCCCGTCCCCCGGACTATGATTAGTTGTTACCCCACTTTCCTCTTTTTCTTTCTTTTTTTGGGGATTAACGTCCTTGTTTCGGTTATAACCAAGCCTAGGACCGCCATCCTCCCTTTTGTGTGTTTGTTATATGTGGTTCCATAAGTCGTTTGCATACATGGTACACATGACGTGAAATTCAATGCAGCTAATAAAACCAACCTGTTGAGAGGTTTTCATGCTTAAAATAACAAATTAAGAAGTAATATTTTCCCGCAAAAGCTGAAATATGGTGAGATTTTGAAGCTATTTGGTTTATTTGCACCTATATTTATTTCTACGGGGTACTATGGGTCTCGTTCCCTTGGCGCTAGTCGAGTCGAAGGCAAGTGAGAGCACAGATAAAAAAGGGTCAGTCATGGAAGAGTGATTTTATCTGACTTGGACTCCGGAGACCCGTGCAGCCATGATTATGTAGGTATCTGTTATGCGATGGGCTGATTTTGAATTTAAATCCACGATAGCATGAATATCCATGTTCAAAATCACAAACAAAAAATAACCACCTTCAACTATTCCAAAATGTTACAATTCAGGTCAATAATATCTTATGAATAAAAACATTCTATTTTATTGTATGAGTACATATGGTCAGTTATTTCGAAGGACGTGCCAGTAAAACCTCAATTGAGAACCCCTGTGCTTTACCTGGACACGTGGGAACTATAGTCATCTCTTTAGTGTGCTAATTTCTCATCGCCTTACTCTATGTCCTATATGATTTCACACATTACCACAGTCAATGTATGAAGAAATCCTCTGATTTGATCAGGGGCGTATGATAAAGACACCCCTGGATTTGGTTTAAAACCAATAACACTGCGAGAAGATCTGTAATTTGAAAAGACATTATTCTCTGCTGTGGCAATATCTCTGATTTCATGGTTAAGTTTCAAAAAGATATTTTTCAATTCCAAAATTAGCTTTAAAAACAAATTACACTTGACCACGGCTACAATTCTCAATATCATCATACATTTTTGTATAAAATGGTCTTAAAGTTTCTGTTTTACTAAATGCTTCAAGCAGTTTTTATTCGTCACTGTTACATTCTGATAGGACCATATATAATTTGAACCAGTATCATAAAGTATTTGTTTAGAATAACTGATCCATTTAAAAGTCACTCTCCACCTTTCCTGTAACTGAAACATTAACTTATACATACATGTAGACAGTATATTGTTATATTACAAAGTTTAATAAGTAAATTATTTATTTTCTGAGTATTAAACATATATATGATTTTTTTTCATTGTCATGAATAAATTAAGAGATGTTTTATAACCTTTACGGAAAACCTTTCGTAAAACTGGTTTGATATTCTTTTTGTTCTTACGCAAACAATAAAAAAAATTAGTCAATGAGCCGATGATTCGTGATAAAAATGTATTGAACAAATAGTGTCCATAAACATCGGTTATACGTCCTACATTTTTTTTTGATTAAATAGTTCCTTTCAAATAGACAAAGAAAAATAGA